AAAAAAATAAATAGTATTTAGTGCAATATAAAAATGCAAATAATTTTTCTGCGGACCGCCAAAATTTTCTCATGGACCACCAGTTGGTGACTACTGGACTAGATGACCTACAAGGTCCCTTCCAACTCTTGTTGCTCTGATATACTTCTTCGGGTACATAGTGTCGATTCAGTACCCTAAAAGTGGCAGGCTACTTTTGGATTCAATTCAGCACCTTCAACCTGTTGAGTTTTATTGCTTAGAAGGATGTGTGGACCGGGACATTTCAGTATGTTGATGAGTTAGCATGTTGTGTGACTACAATTTCAGCACTAGGGATCTAACCTTGACTTTGTCCAAATCAGATGGTTTGTAACTTGGTAACCTCCTTGTAGAGAAAGCTTTTTAAAAGTAATTAAAACAATAGCCTCGTTTTAAAGGACTCTTAAATGTATAATTTTATTACTGTTAGCTTTAAAATATCAGATGATTTACTAGTGATACTGAATGCAATGCAGAAATTGTATAGATGCCCAAAAGTGTTTAGTTAAGTTATATAATTGCTGTTAAATGTAACTAAGATTTTAACAAACCACAGATCCAGCTCTTCAAAATGTAGAAAACCATAGTTCATAGCCAAGTCTTCATAATTTTGCAGCTGAACTCTTTTATCGTTGTGGGGTTTTTTTCAGATTAGCAATTATAGTAGAAGTGAATAGCTTTGTAGTAGTCCAGTGGAACAAAATCTGTCTTGATATTAGAACCCGTCATTTCTGGATTTTCCCTTTTTTCACCTAACAACTAAACATATTATGTTCACTCCTTTAATTACATCATTCAAACTATTGATTAACAACATGAAGTAGCAGAAGTAGCAGTTGGTAAAATTTATTAGCTTCTCTTTTTTCATTTTAATGCCAAACTACACTTTCTAAACAGTTTACATCCGACAAATATAAATGATCACAATTGGATTATAACATGCTTATTCAATATGTTAAGGGACTATTGCATTAATGAGTAAATAGAGACAGAAAGGTTTATGTTTGCATTGTTTTCCTTTTTTATATGAATCTCTGTATTCCAGAAGAAAACATAGATGTACAACCAAAATGTTGTTTGGAGATAGCGTTCCTCCATTCACCAAACGAAGCTATGTTACCAGGGATTACACAGTTGCATGATCCCAGGAATAATATGCATTTGGCTTAAGGCACAGACAGTGCACCAATGCCTGCTCCAAAATAGATTGTGGGCCCTTTTTTAGCTCAAATAAGGTATTTTTCTGTGATTGGCAGCTATCAGGAAATTCTACAAGATGCATCTTATTTAAGAAGACACTGACAGTTATGGTATTCATGCCTATTCCCACTTCAAAGCACCATTAGGTTTCTGATGCAAAGTGTACCACATCCTTAGCAATTACATGATTATGCTAAAATACAAGAAACCAAAAACGTTTTAGCACTCAAAGATTCACACCTGTATTGTGCCATGAGCATTCAGAAGCTCATACCTGATGTGTGGTTAACTGTTGTTGATTAATGAAGTATATATCTAGGTAGAATGAAATATAAATGGAGAATTAAATGGCACTAAAGTAGAAAAACTAATGAGTATCAAATTCAGTGACAAGTTTGAACATATAGAAAAAACTGATCTCAGTTTGCTGTTAGTTGACATATAGTTAGCAGTTGTTCTTGTTCATGTTAAATAAATAGAATAACTATTCTGGATAAAATCTAATTGATCATTTATATATTGGATATTCCCTTTAAACTTTCTTCGTTGACATATAGGCAACTATACCATGCAACCTTCTATTATCTTGACACTGAATGGTTCCTTAGAATAATGGACTGTTGAAAATAAAAGTCAAAATAAGTAGTTTCTCTCCAATCCTGGTTGATCCCCAAAAGCTAAACAGGATTGGATTTGGGTATCATTGAATGGAAGACTACCAGGAAATGGCAAGACATTTTAAAAAAAAAATCCACAAAAGTAGCAAGCCAGTATGCTGTTTATAAAGAAAAATAAACATAAATAACACATATATTCTTAGATGGGAACTAGAAGTTGAGCTTGACTTGGGGGAGACTTTATTAAAATAAATAATCTTTCCTGTATTGTAAATTGCCAGTACACTTCTTCTAAAGAACAGTAAACTTGGGTACATAGATTAAACTAAGCCCAAATAAAGCAAACTGAATAAAACAACTAGTTTTTCATGTGCCTTGACCTAGATTTATTTATTAAATTTATATGCCACCCATCTCATTATCCAGAGTCACTCTGAGCAAGATGAAGAGACTAAGTCAGAATCTGAAAATATTCCATAATTATTAGTATAGACACAAATAGGATGCTTACAAGTGACAGAATGAATGTAATATACAAATCTATATTTCCCATGTTCAGATACTGCTTAAGCTTTTGCCACGAATATACTTAGATTAATCTCTATTAGGTGATATTGTATACATTCATTCATTGTCCCAAGCATGCCACTATTAAAAGGGACTATCTTATTAAAGTAAATCTTAGAGGAATCACATTTTTCAGTCTTGGATGGAAGCAAATTATAGTTTTCATAAGAATACAGAAATGTTATGGTTGCATTTAACACATTGCTTTTTTAAAAATCCTTTGTTACCTATAAATATTTGGATTAGATTTATCTTTTTATTTAGTTGTTGTTTGTTGCTGTAGGTTGATGAAGTTCCTGATGGAGCAGTGAAACCACCGACAAATAAAATGCCTATATTCTTTTTTGGCACTCATGAAACGTAAGTCTTTTTGGGGCAAAGTTACATTAGACAACGGGACAAATCAATCCCTAATATTTTATTATTTCTTTTTAATAATGTCTGAAAATATTGCCACCAAGCCTTTTATTCTGAAGGTCATTTCTAAAACTGGAATAAGATAAATAGGCAGATAACATGCCTAATTACAATATCAGATCATTACAATTCTTATAGTTTGATGATGTGTAGACAGTACAACTTTAAAATGCAAGAACGTATTTCTTCCGTTAATATTTATGCAACAAGAGAATTTAGTCATTCTTTGCTTACAAGCTGGCTTTCTTTTGATTTTCATTTAGAAGGTGGTGATTTTATTCTTGTTTTCTACTGTGCTTCCAAGTGCTTAGAATTAGACAGATATAACTTTAGCATTAGCACCCATTTATGTCTGCCATAAGTACTAGAGATAGTCCTCAACTTACCGACAGTTCTGGGTGTCATAAAATACGGCACCACCCCACCCCTGTGATCACATGACCACATTTCAGGCACTTGATAACTAGCTCACATTTATAACTTCGCAGCATTCCACAGTCACATGACCTCAATGTATGACTTTTTTGCCAGTTTCCAGCGAAAAACACCCACTCAGAAGAATAGGTTCAGACTTACAACATCATGATTCTCTTAGTAACCATTATAAACTTGGATCCAGTCACATAGGTGCCTCAATTTTATGACAGAATTTGCATAATTGCCCAGAACTACCAGTAAAATTAAGTATTGTAATGAAACAGTACATTGCCTGCATTCTACGAGCGATCCTTTGCAAGGCAGAGCTGAGGACTACGTCCAATTCCTCGNAACAACAACAACAACAACCTAGGCAGAGCCCCATTCACAGTAGATCTCTATTTGTCATGTAAGTCAAGAGGGAAGAGATTCTATACATGGAGGACCTCAAGTGAACAGGACTTTTCTTGCTTCTTGCATCCTATACTTCTCCCTTCACTGTAATATTGCTACCTGAACTGCTTTGACTCTCTGAGTTGGCAGTGGAGTTTCCAAGATTGATTAATTCTGAGAGAATCTAACTTACCCTCATGTGACTTAGGTCTAATGTGGCTGAGAAATTCATGGCCACCATAGACCTGACCCAATTACTGAGAACAGAACAGAACCTGTTAGTTATACATTTGATCTGGCTTTTGCTTTAGAGCAGTTGTAATATGAACTGAAGATGGAGGGCATCACCTTCATTTCTTAATCATATTAGATAACTCTTATTTACTTTCGTCTTGCTTTGTTACTGCCTGGAAGTTAGCTTCCAGCTGCAATTCAATATGTTGGTCACTGCCTCTAAATTGCTTTAGGTCCGGGCAAAGATCTCCCTTACATCATTTCTATCCACTCTATATATTTCAACAGGATGGAACATTAAATAATGTCATCTAATGAGTCTTAGGAAGTAGGAAGCACATTTTCTCTGTCATAATCTACATGAGGGTAACTTTAGTCAATCTTTAAAGACTTGTACCAAGCTCTAAGGTTAATGGTGTGATCAGTGGTGGGATTCAAATTTTTTTACTACCAGTTCTATGGGTGTGCCTTTGTGGCTGTGACGGGCCAGGGGAAAGATACTACAAAATCCTCATTCCTTCCCCATCCCACTAACCTGATTTCCAGCTCTGTTCCCTTATGCAGGGCAACAAAAGAAGATCATCTGGGAGGCAGCGGGGATGGGGCCAGCCTATTTGCAGGTTCTCCGAACTACTCAAAATTTCCACTACGGGTTCTCCAGAACCTGTCAGAACTGGCTGAAATCTACCTCTGTTTGATGTGTATTGTTTGCCTTGGTTGTGATATGTGTTTTCCCAATTATCTGACACATCCTTTTTTCTTCTCCCTTGCTTATTTAAGTATCCTATTTATTTTAAATGTGCACTGTCCATTTTTAGCTGAAATGAACATAATTAGAAAAAAGATTTTAGCATTTTCTACTAGCTAATCATTTACTATGAGCAGAATTTATAAGATGGAGATTTAATCCAAAATGGCTGTTTCAAAGTACTGTGATTATTTCAGCCACATTATACATCTACACCAAACAACTAATTAGAAAAATACTTATCTGGGCTAGCATTTACCAACTTGCAATACAACAATGCCTCAAATCAACAGGAGAACTCAATCATTTTCCTCTGTAATTGACCTTTCTAAATTATAGTTGAATACTGTGGCTAAAGTAAGTTCCTATTCCTCATAATTATCTTATAATTGCAAACTCATGTGATGATTATGGGTAGAAATGGAAGTGAAAAGGGTTACAAAATGAGGGAATCTTAGTACTAGTAGGACTGAAAAATAAGCCCAAGAAAACTGAATTAAATGAAAAGATAAGAAAACAGAAGCATGATCTATTGCCACAAGAGTCAAAAGAAAAAGGGGGAGGGGGAACTGGAGGTGGAAATGGGAATTATTTTAACCACTTACAACTAATGTATTTGTCCTTAATGGGCAGTAAAGAGGAGACAACACAAAATTAATAAACAGTGTGGTTATGACCATAACTTCCTTGGCAAACATAATGAACAGACCTATTAATGGCTATAGTACTCTATAAATCAAAAAAATCATATACACCTCTAAATAGCAGCTGTTGGGACACACAATAAAAGAAATTATTCAAACAGCAAAAAAAATTGTAAAAAAATACTGCTTTAAATAAAGACATATAGTTGTCAGCTGCACTAAGTACTGGAAACCAGATCAGAAATCAATTCCTAACTAGGCTAAATCTACTTTAATTGAAATTGGCTACAATACCAGAACCTGATGATACTGTACCTCTTCCCTTTCTCAAATCTCAATGAATCTGGACAATCTCTTTCTAAGCCACTTTTGAATATTATTTTGTGTCCCAGGGCTTTAATAAATATTTCAGCCTCCTTTGTCGAGTAATGGTTCTTGTGTATTTCCTTAAAGGCCATCTTCCTTACTCTTTGTAGTGATTGTGTGTTGTTGGAACTGAGGGCAGGCATATGTCATGCTTCGCCTTTTAATCAAATGCTGGGGTTGTAATTTCCCCACCATCACCACTACCACAGTTGTGCGATCCTACCAGTTTAACAACCGGTTCTCATTGTGTGCGCATGCACAGTTTACAAAGTAGTTACCTTCTGGATTGCTGCTTGGGAGGGAAAACAGCTGAGGTGGAACAATCCACTCTGCCATGCGACTCAGCTGAGATGATAAAGGTAGGTAAAGCACAGGGGTGGGCCCACTTGCTAGTAGGAGCAAACAAGTTTGCTCCCAGCTGATCTTCGGAGCTACCGGTTCGCCCGAACCAGTCTGAACTGGTAGAATCCCACCTCTGCACTACCACCAAATGACAAGATTGGTACAAAGGAGGGGGAAATAAAAATAATAATTTGATTCATTTAATATAAAATGACTTTAAATGTATTACAGTTCATTAAATACAATTAATAAAATCATTCCCATGTATGTATTTTTCCTGTTTGTTTTGTAGTTAAAAAAAAATCCAAGATAGTAGCAATTATGCATTCCTGGTCTAGACGAATCTTGGTCTGATCTAGCAAAACAATTTCTGCAAATAGAAAATTATAACTGGATCCAAGCTTTCTTTCTTATGAAGCCTGTTGACAATATGGACTCAGTAGCACCAACCATTATGACTTAGGAATTTTAATTCTTGGGTGTTTCCAGAGTGAGTTTCTTGTCTTAAAAGAATATCAGACCTTAAAAAATTTCATTTGATACCTAGATGAAAGTATACATAGCCACTTTCTGTTTTTATCAGTAGCACCTGGCAGAACTCACCTAGCAGAATATGGAGACCCAGGAGTTGTGACAATATTCTGGGAAAATGTCAGGTTAACATGAAAGCTACGACAAACACACTCTGAGAGAGAAGAACAGTGGGACAAGCTGAGCAATTAATTGTCATAAGGATGTCATGACAGTCTTTTGAAGTTAATGAAACTGGAATGCATTAAAGGAGGGATTTATTATTATTATTACTATTAACAGTTTGCTTGACAGTTACATTTGCCCTAATAAAAAATGAGAGGTTCAAAGGAAAGCTGGACCAGTTTAGCGGCTCCCATTCACAAATCTTCAAATTCATTTACTTCTAAGGCTGGGCCCTTTGTGTATTTGACATCCTCCCTGTCTCTCTCCATCTGCAGCCGTTAATTTTTTTTCAAACAGCACATATCCCACCCAAAGCTCTAACACGGCAATCTAAAGTATAGAAAGGCTCCCAAGAGGTCCTCTGGTATTGGGATTCAGAAATGATTCATCATAGCTTATTCACATTTCTTTACTCTTTCATCCCCGAGGCAGACAAAGCTTATGTGTACAAACTGAAATAAATGTCTTGAGTGGAATATTGACTCTTTCTTTTTCTGGTCCTCTGAAATCAAAGCAATTTGGGCTTCCTTTGTTAGCATACAGGAGCAATAATTTTTACAAAGTGGTGAGCAAAAATAAGTTAGTTTGGCCAGGTTGGAAGTGGGAGAGATAGAGAAGAGGTAATAGTATAGCAGCACATTACAGGTAGTCCTCAACTTATAACAGTTCGTTTAGTGACCACTCAAAGTTACAATGGCAGTGAAAAAAGTGACTTATGATCATTTTTCACACTTATGACTATTGCAGCATCCGCATGGCCATGAGATGAGAATTCAGATGCTTGTGACCTCTAGACTGGAGTACTGCAATGTGCTCTACATGGGGCTGCCCTTGAAGAGTATTCGGTGACTTCAGCTTTTCTAGAATGCAGCCGCGCGAGCGATCGTGGGTGCGCCTCGGTTCACCCACGTAACACCTATCCTCCGTGAGCTGCACTGGCTGCCTGTTGATCTCCGGGTACGCTTCAAGGTGCTAGTTGTCACCTACAAAGCGCTTCATGGTATTGGACCTGGGTACTTGAGAGACCGCCTACTGCCAATTACCTCCACTAGACCAATTAGATCTCCTCCGAATTCCATCAGCCGGCCAGTGTCGACTGGCGACTACCCGGAGGAGAGCCTTCTCTGTGGCTGCTCCAACCCTCTGGAACGATCTC